TATACATACACCTTGCTACGTGTACTGCGTTAGGCTAACCGAGACTTGTCATTTGCACTTATATATTGTTGCTCTTTTGTTAGTTTTGACTGCTTTTATTGTCCTCATTTGTAAGTCGCTTTGGATAAAAGCGTCTGCTAAATGACTAAATGTAAATGTAAATATTATGGATACTAAAATGCTACACTGAATTATAATACAGAAAATTATATGACCACGAGGAAGCCACAAAATTACAGGTTTCTTTAAACATAAGCAAGAAATAGTGTCTGGAGCGTTACTTGCTGTGACTAATGACATGTACTGTAACTAAAGAAAAAAAAAACTTTTTTAGTGAATATTTTTATTCATTTAATATGAAATTATGACTCCCAAAAATGTCTGCAACCTGCAGAAAATGGACTGGATATACATATTATTAAGGAATAATGTATGCAAGTAGAATCCGTGTATTATTCGATCATTCGTTTTTTTGATTTAATACTGAAAGTAGAAAAATGAGAAAACGGCTCCTTTTTCGTTTTTTTCCAAAAAACGAGAAACGAGAATTCAGCTTAAATGGTCGTTTTTCGTTCATGGGTGGAAAAATGAATAAACAGCTTGAATATTTGATTTCTACATGTGGGCGGGATTTAAACGCCCCTTTCTGCTGATTGGTCAGCCGAAGATCAAACCGTGCAGTCATCAGTTCTTCTGCAGCAAAATAATAGTCCTCCACTGCTGCAGTTGTATGGATTCTTAACGCATTTATTGCAACTACATTTAATATTTTTTTCATCAAACAAACAGTCAAATTAATAGCTCAACACAACTCGTACCGGGGCATTGTCTAGACAGGGCTTTCTTCTGTGTAGATATAAATTCTATTCTTTGCATCAGCTGAGCATCTTTCTGGTGCATGCCACAAACATGAACCACAGGGAATACTCATCTTTTAAAAGGCTTAATTTAGATTATTTGACGTTAAATGCCTCATATGAGTCACTTTGGAATAAATCACAGTAGGCCTATGTATCATGATTAAAAAAAAACGACTTTACAGTCTGGAAATACTTTAGGCTATAGCAAATTATTTCTTCGACCCCCTATCACTTTAAGAACTGCTGGTCTACACAGAAGAAAGACCTGTCTAGACTCTGCCCCGGTGCGAGTTGTGTCGAGCTATTCATTAGTCTGTTTGTTTGATGAAAAATATGAAATTGATCAAATGGGTTATTAATCTGTACAACTGCAGCAGTGGAGGACTATTATTCTGCTGCCTGATACTGCAGAAGAACTGATGAAGGCACGGTTTGATCTTCGGCTGACCAATCAGCAGAAAGGGGCGTTTAATTCCCGCCCACATGTAGAAATCGAATATTCAAGCTGTTTATTCATTTTTCCACCCATGAACGAAAAACGTAAATTTAAGCTGAATTCTCATTTTTCGTTTTTTGGAAAAAAAACCCCGAAAAAGGAGCCGTTTTCTCATTTTTCTTCTTTCAATATTAAATCAAAACCCGAATGATCGAATGATACACGGATTAAGTAGCACCCTCTTTTTCATTATGTGACATGTTCATTGTGTAATTTTCACAACTCACATGGTGTTTTTGTTTACGTTTCGTCATTGGAACATTTGGTAAGTTTTTAAACAACAGTACAATCCATTAAATGCACTGTACTTCAGTCCCTTACGTCCTCGTTATCATTCCTGTCAAAAAATGAACTATGGCGCTACTCCGACTAAGGCTTATTGAGTTCTAACTTCCAGAACTCCATTTCCAGCCGAGCAGCCTTGGGTTTGCACTGTAACCATTACCAACGTGGGACACACCCTAGTAAATGTATTGTGAAAACGAGGTAAAGAGAGAGAGTACAAAAAAACTCATTCTTGGCATACCTGAATAGCCATGTATTTTAAATATAAAGTTCTGCACATGAAGACTTTTGAATATTTTAAAGCTTTATTTTTAACAATAACATAGTTTGCTTTTAACACAGACGGGTTTAAAGCTCAAAGAATACTGTCTAGGCCAAAGAGCGTTAAGACTTGTCATACACACCTACTATACTTTAACTTGGCAGCGAAAGTAGTTTTTATGGTTTTCATCTGATACTGATCTACACACAAACACATACTCAAAGGAAAAGGAAAAAAAAAAAATCTGACATTTTAATAGACAACATGATTAACTTTACAGTTTGTCTGCATGGATCATTTTCCTCTTCATTTCCAGCTTTGTGTCTTCTTTAACTGCATCCTGTAGCACGCTTCACAGGCGATGGACAAACCCACAACCAAAGACACAAACTCCTCAAAGTTCACCTCCCCATCTCCATTGGCATCCAAGTCCTTCATAATTCTGTCGATGGTAGTCGGATCCTTCTGAGACTGTGGGAAAAGAGAATAAAATGTGTTTGATAAACGAGAGAAAAGGTCTGGATTTCCTTTTCTTGGAAAATGAAAGAGAGGAGGCCAGAATTATAGTATTTATGAGAGAATGACAGAAGTTTTTCACCTTGAGAAACCCAGAGAGCTCGTTCTCCATCAGGGTTCGGAGTTCACGGCGGGTCAGGGTGCCGCTCTTGCCCTCTTTTCCAGCGTAGCGGTGGAATACCATGATGAGGGACTCCATGGCGGTCTCTAGTTCAGATGGCATGGCTGCTCACTGTCTGGGTCCAACCACTGTAGAAAGCTGATATGAATCTTATATTAACACTGATCTTGACAATGCATTTCTAAGCTTAAAAAAAAAAAAAACAGCAGAATGAAGAGCTTACCGTTTGTGTGCCTGAGTGAAGATTTTGAGAAATGCTGGTTATCTCCCTCAAGACTTTATATGACCGAGCCCATGGGCAGGAGAAGGTCTTATCAGGGGAAGTTGAGCAATACATTGATTAGAGCACAGCATACCTAAGTTTTCGAGTTAAACAGACTTTGTGTGTTCTTTATCGCATGACTCAACGGGGCACAGTAATGTTAGTAGATGAAACGCCAGAAATTGTATAATATATATACACAAGCAGTCAAACGTTTGGAATAATTAGGATTTTTTAAAATGTTTTTGAAAGAAGTCTCTTATATTCAGCAAGGCTGCATTTAAATTAAAATACATTTTAAATATAATTTCTTCCTGTGGTGGTAAAGCTGAGTTTTCAGCATCATTACTCCAGTCTTCAGTGATCCTTCAGAAATCATCCTAATATGCTGATTTGGTGTTCACGAAACATTTCTTATTATTATCAATGTTGAAAACAGTTTTTGCTGATTTTTAATTTGAGGAAAACTGTGATACACTACAGTAAAAAAATTTGGCATAATTAAGATTTTTAAAAAAACCTTTATTCATCAAGGAGGCATTAAAATAACAGTAAAGACATTAATGTTACAAAAGATTTCTATTTCAAATAAATGCTGTACTGTATCACAACGAATACTTATGAATCATTTAAAGATTAGCCTATTAAATTAAATCAAATTAAATGTTTTTATTTTATTTTTGTGTTTCTTAATCCCTGCCAGGTCACCTTCCGAGAGTGATGAGAGAAATTAAGCTTTTCGAAACTCTGAATCAATTGAACCAATTGCTTCGCAAAATGATTCACTATTTCGAAGCGCTCGAAACACAACATGTTGGCGGCATCTGCTGGTCAAAAGCTTTAAGTGCAACGAAAACTCTATATGATGACACATTTTACAAAGCAATTGCAAATGTTTTCATGAAAGTGTAATCTATTAAATGCAATCTACAAATCATTACATACCATTAAATATGAAGGCTTTGTAAAATTCATGTTCTTCTATTAATGTACAACGCCTGTTTTGTGTCTTCGTAGACAAGGATTGATAAACTAGGTCAATTAGAAGCAAATATCATTCTACTTTATTATACACGCATAGACCTACGTATTCAAATTCATTCATATTTAAAAATGAACCTACATTATAAAAATGACCGAAACATTGGACACTCGTTCATGGGTTCACCAGATCAAAGCCATTTGGCGGCGAATCATTGGAATTTTGAAATTTCGAAATCAAGATTCGAAACAGTATGACGTAACGAAGCCCCCGATCACTGATTCGAAACGAAAGACTCGTAAATATTTCGAAGCTTCACAAGAAACAATGTCTTCAGGTAACATCTGCACAGTTTTACTTTTTAAAATGTTTCTGTTCTACAATTATTGGATAAGACTGTCAGTTTGCCTAAAATACATAGTTAAACCCAACAGCTCTGTTGTGATTTGGCTATGCCGAGGCAGTAGCAGTAATCGTGTGCATTAACCAGCAGCGTGCTGCTGATGAAGCGGACGTGCTGGTTACCACGGAAACGGGATGCGGGTAGGAGACGGAGAGCGTCGGTTTGAAAGCATCTCCAGCTGCGTGCGGATGTAGCGACATCCTACTAACCTACATTTCAACCTGAAAGAGGCAATGGCGGCCAACGGAAGATTTCCCCATTGACATATAGCCTAATGATCTACTGCGACGAAACGGAACATAAACGGTATGTTTTGCAAGAAAAATAGAGAATGCATTTAATCCGCATTGTGCATGTGGCAGTGTGAAGCTTCTTCAGCATGCGGTGTTTTATTAATTTAATTTATTAAGCTGGCTGGAACCTGCAAGTAGGCTTTACATTCATTGCAATTAAAAACGTGTATCTCGGTAAGTCGCAGTGATTTGCGACAGCAGTGCTGTCATACGAAGACAGCAGCATCCTGTAATGGCGCCCAGATTTCAGGTGAAGGTAAGGGCGCTGCCGAATACAGCACGAGCCGTGCTAACCGGTTATACGGTCATGTCTGTAGGTCAAACCTCAGTCGCGTTTATTTTGTAGTAAAATCACGTTAAACGTTGGTTCTGCGGGATGGGGTGACATGGGATGCCAGTTGACATTGCTGAATTACCGCGCGACGATAAAGAAGCCCAAGCGTGCCTTTAAGCTGCTGTAGGCCTTCCTAAAGCATGCGTTTTGATTTTTAGAGTAAGATTTAAATAGAAAATTCTTGTCTAACGAAAAAATATAGGTTAGATTTTACAATGACATTGCCATTGAATGGGACAGGCCAGTGGTTAACTAATAACTAGCGTAATAATAATTATAACCAGGCTAAACCAGCCTATTTTATTTGCATGGGAAATGGTTTTCAGATTCAATTAATTATAGAATTTCGTTGTCACAGTGGTTTCTAGAGGTCAAAGTTACTAAACTCATTTTTTAAAGTTTTATTTGTGCATACTGTATGTTTTTGTGGAGATGAAAACTGTTCATGCATGTTTGGAAAAAAAAAACTTTAAAAAACAGGTGTCAGATTCATTTGTGGTGCTGTTGCTCAGTCAGTCTTCAAACAGTCACCACAAATATGTCTCTACCGTGCTAGTCTGATGGACAAGGTCATTCTTACGCTGATGTGGCCTTTCCAGAGCTTCCAGTGTCACCCAGCTGTCTGCTTAAATCATGAACATCAGGTCACCATCCATTTTTAAAGAGCATTGCAGGCCAGTAGCAGTGCACCAGAGAAACTAGTCTCTCTAGTGAAAATCTAGTCTCTCTTTCCTCTTTCTTTAAATCGGTGTGCAACAGAGACATCATAATTCTTCATAGAGCCCAAATGTTCTGTTCCAAATATGACTTAAAGGCACAATATGTAAGATTTTTTTATTAAAATATCCAAAAACCACTAGAACAGTGTTATATATTTTTGCTGACTTGTGTACTTACATTATCCCAAATATTTCGAAGAATGTTTAAATCCAGAGAAATAAGCAATTTTAACTAGTGACACGGAGCGTGTCCATAGTGTCATTGTGTCGCCTGCTAATGACGTCATAACCCCTCGATTTCCGGTTTTGTTTTGTAGAAAACATGGAAACACCAATGACGCTTTAATATGTTGTGCGTTTTATTAGACCGGTGACGATCGCACAGAGTAGCATTATAACAGAACTTTCAAATGTATCTAGTATGATAAAACAGCGCTGCTTTTTTTCCCCACATACGCACGACCGGAAGGAGTGGAAGCAGTTGACTGTGGCGAGCTCCGCTGCTTTCGAAACTAGCTTTAAAGGTCCCCTGAAATGCTTAGAAACACGCAGCGTTACTCTATGTGTTGATGTCATTTTAACTGAAACAGGAAGACAGCTATTTTTAAAATAGCCAATAGCGTTAGTTTATATCACAGCTTGGGCTAGAGCCATTCAGAGCCGTTGAGTTCCTTAAAGCCGCATTTGACAGGGTATGCCAGCCACAATCTCATCCATATTGCTATAAAATATAGCATTCTGTGTAAAATTCAAATAGCTCTGATACATTTTGCGGTCTGCGCCGACTCGCGCATGTGATCCGCTCCGTTCTAAATGTGAATTTTGTCACTGTTTTGGAGCACACTGCCTTATAGATAACCTTAAGACTAACATATTGATACTAACACCCAAAAAACTTTAATTTTGATTTCATGGGGACTTTAAGGAGTTAAATTTAGGGATTATCTGGCTGTGGCATTCTCTGAATGTTCAGTTCAACTGGTAGTGCTTGATGCTATAGTAACACTAAGACCAGGGGATGCCATACTGATACAATGCATAGCTTATTTGCTAAGCTGCAAATATGTAGCAAAATGTGTAAATTATAATTAAAAAAAAAGTTCTTATAAGGGTTTATGTGATTAACCCAACCCCACCCTTATCAAACATATTGATTTTAGGGCTAGGGTTGAGTTTAGGCCCTGGAATAGCATTTCTGATTTTAGAGGTACATTCAGGGTTATGAGGGGTTAAGGATGTTGATCTGGGAACATGTGGTACTTGGATAAATTATGTTGTGATTGTTACAATATGTTTTGTTCTCCACAAATTATTAATTAAAGTCTGATTTAAGATGTCTGATTGCACCATTACAATGAAATTCATTTATGGACATACAATACCATTCAAAAGTTTGGGGTCAGTAAGTTTTTTTTTGTTAATTAAAAAAGTATACTTTTTAGCAAGGATGCATTAAATCGACCAACATTGACAAGACTTTTACATACAATATAAAATATTAATATATTAAAACTTATTTTTAAATGTAACAATATTTCACAATATTACTGTTTTTACTGTATTTTTGATACAATTTTTGACGCAGCCTGGGTGAGAATAAGAAATGACTTTCAAAAACAAAATAAATATTACTTTTGAACAGCAGTGTACGTAATTAATTTTAAAATATATTTTTATCTGATAATAAACTCTCATAATATAACTGTAGCCTATGCTGTGCTTTTATAATGGTATTTTACTGTAGTCAATATTTGTAAGATCTTTCTGCTTCTGTTATCTTTTTTTTCACTCATCTTGTTTCTTTTCACCCTCCATTCATTTTTTCCAGTCCAATATGAAGAGTATGGAGCAGGAATTGCTGTGTCCTGTCTGCAAGGACATTGTGAAGCAGCCCATTGTACTTCCCTGCCTGCACAGCGTGTGTCTCATGTGTGCCTCCGAGGTGCTGGTTCAGAGCGGGTATCCCCAGCCCGAGCTCCCCCCGGAGCCCAACTCGCCCGCTTCTACCCCCAACATGCGGTCCCCACGGCAGCTGCGCAGGCCCATGCCCAAGTCTGACCGCGTGGACCGCCTGTTGCGCTCAGGTGTGTACAGACAAGAAAGAGTATGCACCATCTTCAGTGTCATATAAACAGGTTGATATATATTTAGTTTATCTGATTGTGTGTGTATGTTTAGGTTCTGGGACATACCCAGGCCGCAGGCGAAAGGAAGGCCCTCCACTTGTCATGCTTTTTCATTGCGCCCCCTGTGGACGAGATGTGGAACTAGGTGAGAGAGGATTGGCTGAGTGCATGAGGAACCTTACACTGGAGAGAATTGTGGAAAGGTAATAAATACACACATTCAAGTACGTTGAAATAAATCATTTGAAAATGGATTAAAAAATAAACGTGTAAAATAAACATGCTTATATTTTAAATGACAAAGTATGAAGCGCAGCATAATTTGAAATCACGAGTTTAAAGTTTGTCAATCGTGCATCTCCGTGAAGCTGAACTCTCCTCCTGTCCGTATTCAGTTCGCATGGACCGACCGTCATGCAGAGTACACGCGATCGTGCAGGATACAAATGCACACTTCATAAGATCTCACAGCTGGATTCGACTAAGTTTGTAAGGTTTTTGAAATTAGATGTCCATTAGTCATTCAAAGATTTGTTTAAATGATGTAAATGCGTATTTGCTGAATGCTGACGGCAAACGAGAAAGTATTATAATGTTTGCCTTTCTATTACTAACAATATAAAAGCAATCGTTATAATACTTTTTTGTATACATTTTAATCCTTTGTCTAACAGTTTTATCTGATCATTAGACAGACTTCTGTCCGTGGACAGAACTGTTAACGACGACAGCGAACAAGAGGGAGAATGTGAGCACTGTGTGTTCAGGCGCTGCCGCAGCCGTTCTCAGCGCCGTCAAAATAAAAGTCCCGCCACGAACGCATCGGCCAAACAGAAAAACTTATCGGCCGATGCCGATATTTGAAAAATATCGACCTTGGCGATATATCGGTCAACCACTAAATTATATATTATATTATATATTTAAAATGAAACAATATAATATATTTTCAGTATTTATACTTGTTATTTGATTAGGGATCTTAAATAGAAACTTAAATGCACTTAAATATTATATTTTTGTAATGAAATATAATTATCATTTGAGCATTTATACTGATTTACTTATGTGATAAGTTTGAATTGAATTGAACAAGTGATCTAGTAATATTAAATAGAATCTTAAATACACAATATAATATAATATTTTGAGGATTTATACTTATTTTCTTGTTTAATTAGTGACCTAGGAATCTTAAATGGAACCTTAAATACTCAATTTAAGATTATAATTAATATATAATATAATATTAAAATATTTTGAGGATTTATACTTATTTACTTTGATTAGTGACCTAGTAATCTTAAGTAGAATCTTGAATACACAATTTACCTAGCGTGTTACTATATCTACATGAAAAAAAACACATACAGACAAATAAACAAACGCTTCACTGTAGGATCTCTCTCTTTCTCTCTTGCTTTCTGAAGGTACAGGCACACAGTGAGTTTGGGCAGTGTGGCTGTGATGTGTCAGTTCTGTAAACCCCCACAGGCCCTGGAGGCCACTAAAGGCTGTGCTGACTGCAGAGCCAGCTTCTGTAATGAGTGCTTCAAACTCTACCACCCCTGGGGCACTCCACGCGCCCAGCACGAACATGTTCAGCCCACCCTCAACTTCAGGCCAAAGGTAAGCCGCTTCTCCTGGAGAGCCCAGGATTACTACCCGATTACCTCTCACACCTTGAAGTCCAGGGTCTGATGAATTTTTTAACATAAAACTGAATTCACAATCCCTTTTACTTCCATAATATGCTGTATTTCTGAGTGAAACTGAATATTCACAAAATAAATATGCAGATGCAACTTCATTTTATCAACAGAGCATCGTAAAGTTTCTTTCCGTCTCTCTAGGTGTTGACATGCCCAGAACATGATCAGGAGAGGCTGCAGTTTTACTGTAAGTCATGTCAGATGCTTCTTTGTTCACTCTGTAAACTGCGTAGAATTCATGCGGGTCACAAGATTGCACCCGTCACCCAAGCCTACCAGACTCTTAAGGTATGTTTTCAATTCACCTCTATTTTAATGATGTACCTGGCGTACGTGACTGTCATTTTAAGGTTGCCATGGTTTTCTCTTTTAAAAAATTGATTTAATACATTTTTAGAAGCTAAGTATGGGCAAATAAACAAATGTAGTTAAAAACTGCTGGGTTTTCACATTTTTTAAAGTGCCCCTATAATGCCATTTTGAATATTGCCTTTCATGCAGTGTGTAATGTAGCTGTATGTGAATGTAAACAATCTGCAAAGTTATTGTCTCCCAAAAGAAAGAATCGAACAGCCTAAACGAGTCGTCAGTAATTCAAATCCCAATTCCGTGACGGCTACATGTCACGGGGTAACACATTTGCATAATGCCCGCAGATGTTTTACGTTGTCAGGCCATGAACAACTTGACCCACCCTCAAACACTGTAGTTTGTTCATTTGGTAAACATCATGTCGAGAAGATGTTGTGTCCTACACTGCAGTAAATTCGTTATATTTTTACTTCCGAAAGATGATGCTGCAAAGAACCAGTGGTTAAAATATTTTTTTTCCACTGTACCACAGCAGTACAACACCAGTCTTTTTTTGTGTTCCCGTCATTTTACTGACGACTGCTTCTTTAATCTCGGGGAGTTCAACGTGGGATTCACAAAACGCTTGCTCTTGAAAGATGGATCAGTATCCTGTTATTTGGACCAGCTGGCTCCACTGAATCACAGCCTGCAAGTATGAGAAATAATGGAATGGATGTTTATATTTTCTATCGAGCTTTCAAAATACGGAACTATGGCAATGGGCGTATCGTTAATGACATGCGCTGTATGCGGTAGACCAATCACAACAGACTGGGCCATCTGACCCATCAGAGCAGAGTAGGCTGAATTTTAGAACGGCTTTGAACTGAGTATCGTTGGAAAATGAAGTGATATTAAATGCATATTTTGAGAAAACGAAAGCGTTTTTTGACCTTGCATGCAAGTAAACCTATTGTAAGAGACTCCCAAAACAAAATTAGGAACCTTAAAAATGGCATAATAGTAGCACTTTAAAATGCAACAACAGCGCCACCTAATGGCAGTTCCGATGCAGTACCATATGCAGTTAATGAAGTTGTGTGGGGTTTTAAAGCATCTTTAAAAAAAATACAGCAATAAGGGAATGTCATGTGATCAGATGAGTTTATCTCTCACAAACATTATGCTGGTGTTCAGTTTGTTTAGTGGTGATGTGTAAGTCTATTCATCACATGTCTTAGATCTATGGTTTATGAACTCTTGAAAGCCAGGAAATCAGCAGTAAACAAACTCCATTGTGGGTGATCCTTCTGTAGTGAGCTATTTTTACTCTGACAGGACAGGATTTTCTTTAGGATGACAGTATTCCCATGATTCAAAGGATACGAGAGGTCACTAAATGATCCATTGAGCAAAAATTATACTTCTCATTCACAATGATGTTTGAAATCTTTTTAAAAATCTGATCACAAATGGGCTATAATATTATTTCTACATTTTTATTACTGCTAAAAATAAATATTATGAAAATACAAATGCAACATATCACAACAATTTTCAATGCATGAATCAAACTCAGTTTTCTGACATTTCTACTCGTAGAATTTATGCCAAACTATAATGAATAAGGCAACAACATTACTATTATTAATCTTCTCAATAAAGATGCCTGATTTAAAGTAAAAAATCTTTTACATTGTGTGTTGTTTTTAAACTCTAGGACAAGATCACCAAGGAGCTGAACTACATCCTGTCCAATCAGGACATGGTGATGACTCAGATCACACAACTGGAGAATGCCATCACTCAAACTGGGGTACGGCCACCTTTTCCATCTTTGTCACAAAAGGAAAGCAGGTGTTTGATGTGCTGAACGGTTGTCTGTGTGCATGAATGCAGGTGAACAGTGTATCAGCCAAAGAGCAGCTCTCTCACTGCGTGAGGGAGATAATGGCGTTACTAACCGAGCGGCAGACAATGCTGGCCCAGGCTTTGGAAAGCTCACGGCAGAGAAGGGCAGAGGCTTTGGCCAATCAGGTGGCTGAAAAACGGAGCTTGCTGGAACACGCCGGCTTGATGGCTTTCACTCAAGAGCTGCTCAAAGAAAATGACCCATCGAGCTTTGTGCACGCAGCCAGAATAACACACAACAGGTGGGACGGCTAACCCACCTTCATATCTGCTGATAATACTGATGTCTGTTCTCGAAATCTGAAAACAGAAAAAAAAATCTGAAAAAATTACCTCTCTTTCTGGCAGATTGGCCCAATCAGTTGAATCTGTGCAGCGTTTCTCTCTTTCTGCTGATCCTTCGTTCCGTCACTTTCAGCTTGATGTTTCCAGAATGCTCAAACTCCTCACAGACCTGAACTTCATTCAGGGTAGGAAAATGAACAAAGGAACGCTAACATTTTATAAAATGCTGCTGACAAACTCATAATGTCTGTCTTTAATGTTTATCCATAATGTGCATTATGGTTATCATATCAGCACTACACTGATTTAAGACCTATTTAATCCTTACTTACAAAATTACACAGTAAGGTGTATGTGTTTGATTCACTAAAAAACCCAGATTGCAAAACTTTTCTGGAATCAGTTTGATTACAGTGGACTCACTGTATGAATTTGATTCACTAAAACAAACTGGTTCTTAAGAGTCATTCATTTGGAATCACGTGAACTACACTGGTCGTACTGTTTGTTTTGATTCACCAAAAACTGCAGACTCATAAGTGTCATTCATTCGGGAATCAGACTACATTGGTCGCACTATCGTCATTCACTAAAAGAACTGACTAATAAGACTTGTTTGTTTTGTTATCAGACCACACAGGCCGTACTGTATGTTTAGATTTAAAAAAAAAAGAGCAGACTTGGAGTCATTAGTTTGGGAATCGGACTACACTGGTCGCGCTGCACGTCTTGATTCACAAAAAGAACCAATATAGCATGATCACTGTAGTCTCTTAAGTCTCTGATTCTCTTAACATATGAGTATTGACAAAATAATCTTTTTATGCTTTCATTACACCAAATACACAAAATAATGTTCTTTTTAGTAGCATCATATGACCCCTTTAACACATTATCATATCAGCAAAATCCAACATCATTCAACTTCTAATTTGCATGTATTGTTATGTTAGTACATAAACTAATTTCAGTACATATGTATATATTGAATAAAACATATCTTAAGTATTTAAACTTGCAGTTGTGTGCCATTGCCCTTTTCATTAAGTAAAACAATCCAAGATTTTTGGGGGTTTGTTTGGAATGGGCATATGGAATTAATTTTATTTGTGCAGGTCTTAAAAAGGTCTTTAAGGGTGTATTCACACCTGTCTTGTTTGGTTCGATTGAATCGAACTCAAGTTCGCTTCCCCCATTGGTGCGGATCTTTTGGGCAGGTGTGAATACAGCAATCGCACTCGGGTGCGGACCAAACAACCGTACCGAGACATAGCTGAAGAGGTGGTCTCGATCCGCTTCCAAACGAACTCTGGTACGGTTGAATGGATGAACCAATGAATGGATGACCTTAAGCACACGTGTGGATTTGTTTAAAGTTTCTGGTTCACTTGCAAAAAGGGCAGTGTGAAAGCGAACCGCACCAAACAAAAAAAAATCAACATTGTATTTGGTTGCGATCAAAGCAAGTGAACTAGCGGAATTTCCTGGTGTGAATACACCCTAAATGTCTTAAATATGATTTTAAAATCTCTGCAGAATCCCTGCTGATATAATAATATTGTGTTATGAGAGATACACTAGTGTACAATAATGCACAGAATTTCATGGAAAGCTCACAGAAAGTTATGTCAATAAATAAACACATTGAAAAGTAACGTATCTGAAAAATAAGATATTATGGTGCAAACTGGATCTTACTTTACTTGCAAAAAGTAATCTAATTTGGAATGTCATGTAATCTAACCCCAACCAAAATGACCTATCCCATCAGCCCCTCTTGCTCCTGTGATTGACACCCAGCGAACCCTTGCCTATGACCAGCTCTTCTTGTGTTGGCGGTTGCCTCAAGACTCCACTCCTGCCTGGCATTACTCTGTGGAATTCCGGCGGCGGGGGGTGGTGCCAGGGGGCGGGGCAAGAGGGGGTATTCGCGGGGGATTGGCTGCTGCTCGTTGGGGCTGGCAGAGATTGGAGGAGGTGACCGGGACCTGTGCGGTGATTGACAGGCTGGAGATGGACAGTGTGTATGTGCTGAGGGTGAGAGGCTGCAACAAGGCTGGCTTCGGTGATTACAGTGAGGAAGTATATTTACACACACCACCAGCTCCAGGTAAGAAACACCTTCTGAAGATTTTTCAACACAAACATAATTCATCCCCAAATGATACTCATCTATCTTCTATTCTCTTTATCTTTTTTTATCCATTCCCATCTCCTTCTCTACAACCTTTGGTTTTTCCACATTTTCCAGCTTTTGTGACAACAGCGCTATACGGCCACCTTTCCTGTTCCCTTTTATAGCCCTTAAAACTCTTTATCTTTTTTTTTGTTTATATTTCCCTCATCATTTGATTATTTGAGCCATTTATTCTTTAAACCACCAGTATGTTTATTTTCCACACAAAACCCTCAATGTAGTGAAATATTTTGATCTGATGTGAATGTTGACCCATTCGCTTTGTAAATGTGGCCACAAGCAAATGCTCCATAATGTTTATTAATAACATTAAATGGAGGCCCGGGTTACAAATAATAATCCAAGATTTGCAAAATCCAACCAGAAGGCAGGTGTTCATGACAAAACGCTAACATTAGCTTCCGCTATGAATGAAAACAAGGGATACAAAGACATGAATCTGATTTTTAAGATTAAGTAAATTCATTTTTGATGTGAATAGGCCTTAACTGAAATACTGATGAGGAAATACACCTTTTCTTCTCTGCCTGTCTGCTGAAACGCAAATCTTCCTCCTTTTTGCAGTCTTGATTTCACCCTGCTATTCACAGAGTGCATTTCTTTGTATTCTTTCCTTGTTTACAGTTTTCCTGATTGCTGTATTTATGCCTTGTCCTCCTTTTGCATATTCTATACTTCTATTCTCCCTTTCCACCCACTCTTACGTCCCTCCATTTGGTGCCTTAATTCTGTGTCCCTCTTTCCCCTCTTCTTCTATCCTCCTCAAAATTCCTCCTGTATTCCCTCGCTGTTGTCTTCCTCCCGCCTCCCCGACAGTGTTGAATTTTTACCTGGACTCTCGTTGGGGTCTGCACGCGGACAGACTGGTGGTGAGTAAGGAGCAGCGGTGTGCTCGCAGTGTGCCCGGTCTCTCCCTGCTGCAGGCCGCCGATCGGGCCCTTACTTCCTGTCACCTGACAGCGGATCTGCTTGTGGGTGACGTGGCCATAACGCAGGGTCGACACTATTGGGCATGCTCAGTGGAGCCCGGCTCATATCTGGTCAAGGCAAGTTCTGTAAATAAGAAAATTATATTATATTTCCTGTGAATCCTTCTATATCACTTTTTATCTGATTTTTTTTGTCTTTGGCTCTGTTCTACAGGTTGGAGTGGGCCTAGAGTCCAAACTTCAGGAGTGGTTTCATCTGCCTGAAGATATGGCTAGTCCAAGGTAAGAACAAAATCTCAAATGAACGGAAAGGACAGAAATGAACTGCAAAAATGAGAATAGTAAGTAGATATGTTAATGTTATTGTTAAGATATGATACCTAATACTTCCAATTTTGCTTTTATTATGACCAAACGATTGAAATTATGATGTTAAACTATTAAAATCTAAATGAAAAACTGTATTTAAAAGTTTTTCACAGCAATGCCATAAAAGATCCATTTCAATTCCCCAAAGAACCTTTCATGAAACAGATTTTTTTTTTCTAGTGTAAAAACATTTTAAAAATCTCAACTTTTTCCACTATAAAGAACCTTTTGTGTAATGGAAAGGTTCCATGGATGTTAAAGGTTCTTCATGGAACCATCAATTCCAATAAAGAACCTTTATTTTCAAGATTGTGGAAAACCTGTACCTCAGAGTTGGGCGGTCGCTAAGTCAGAACCATTACATGGCACTAGTCTGAACAAAACAAAAAAATAATATTGTTAACAATAAACCCAAATAACTACATTCAAATTCAAAATGATGAAAAATATCATCATTAGCCTGATAGAGTTTGGGCTCCTTGCCTCTGTCGCCTTTGGCTTGCTTAGTTGGGATTTACAAGACACTCCGTAATATTATTGATTTGACTGCACTGACACTATCGGATGAGAACAAAGCTTGAACTGAACTGAGCTGGATGATGACACTATTGTCTTGTAGAGCTGCTTTACAGCTCAATCGAATTCAATTCATAATTGATGAATTTTGCAACACCAAAATCGACACGGAGTTGAACGTGTTTCACATAATTTAGGAACTTTACAAAGTTATTGAACCAAACTGAATCAACACAGAACTGACTTGAGCTGAATAATGACACTATTGTTTTATTTAGAGCTGCTTTACAGCAAAATTTGAATTTATTTGCATCATTATTTTCCAGTTTGTTACTGTGAAGCTGCCTTGAAACGATCTCTATTGTATAAAGCGCAATATAAATAAATGTGACTTGACTAGAATTCTGAGTTTGCCACTTGTAAATACCACTTTGCTTGGTTATTCATTTGCTCGGAACTCATAATTGCGATATTTCCAACTCCACTTGAAGGGCAAACAGCATATTCAGCGAAAAAAAATGGATGGTTCTTGATTTCCATTTTTCACGTATTGAATCCATCTTCTCTGTATGATAGATATGATCCAGACAGCGGCCATGACAGTGGAGCTGAGGATTCGTCAGATTCTCCTCCCCCTTTCTCTTTCCTCACAATGGGCATGGGCAAGATCTACCTGCCCTCCTCTGCCAACTCCCATCATGCCAATGCCAATTACCGAGAGTCTGGTTTCACTAATAGTAATGGGCCTTCATCGCCAGCTGGCGTCACCTATCCGCTGCCTCCGAGACTAGGAGTGTGTCTGGACTTTGAGAAGGGGCGTGTCACGTTTTACGATGCCCACTCACTCCGCCCACTATGGGAGGGGCCTGTGGACTGCTCTGCCCCCGTGTGCCCTGCTTTCTGTTTTATTGGAGGCGGAGCTCTACAGCTACAGGAGCTGGTTGCTAATCGTAATGCAAATCAAACCCCTGTGAGACGAGTCACTATTCAATCACGTGTAACGAAACTGAACTGAACTCTGATTGATTATCATTTTTATAATTCGATTTTAGAGATGGATGTTTTTAATTGCACCCAAGATAAAACTCTTCTTATTTTTCTTTTGGTTTTTAGAGGCCTTTATTGCTGCAATGCTTGCTGAATTACTGATGAATTATTAATCTGCTGATGCCACCTATATACCCAAGAAAACTATTTAAAATGCATATTCTCAAAGTTTTTTTTAATAGTAGATTCCACCCACACTGTGTACACTGTAGTGATATAATATACCTTGTATTAAAGTATCTTTTGCTTATTAATCTCCAAACAGAGCAGAAATTCCAGACTGTTACAGAAGGCCTCATTTTATAACCCACAATACTGTCGTAAACATCTGCTCTTTTAACCTCTAGCCATGTGCTTTCAGGACAGATCTGTCCAACTCTTTCAGCTGTCAACTGGAGCATTTACAAAGACATTTACTCAACATACGTCTAATGCCAGACCAAATGCTTCTCGCTGCTGTTTCTGCCTTAGATGGTTAAGAAGAATTTTGATTTGTTGAAATATGTGGCTTCTAGACTGCAGACGGTATATAAAAGGACTTTCTGAATATTTTATTAGGGCACACTCACCTTATAGCTTACACAAATTGTTGTTTTGAATTCCCATATACTGTTGGACAATTGGAAAATATTTAAAGCTAAATTATTTAAGTGAAGCTTCTTAAGAATGAAAATATACAATGCAATAGATTGGAAGTGCACTGCTTTACTCAATATTTATGCGATTGAAAGTGTATGTGTGTGTGTGAGATGCACTAACCCCACCATTATGTCACCTTATGCAAATTCATACTGAAGCTTGTAGAGAATATTTTTTACGAGTTTGACTCGTGCTTGATTTCAGTCCAGCGTAAAGCTGTGCTTCCCTGGAATGGCTTTAGAGTGTAGTCTGAATCCTGCTGGAGATAATGGTGGCTTTTGCCTGCTGGTAATAATTCTAATAAATCATTCTCTGAAAATTCTAGTCTTAATATCATTTACAGATTATACTCAGAGCAAATGTTGTATTACTGTTTTCTATCAGTAGGGGGCAGCAGTTTATTCAAACATGTGAGTGCTGGTCCTCTTGCAAGGTGGATTAGACTTGAGCTATTTCAAATGCCTCTATTTAGCTAAATATTTGGCTATAAAAGGAATTCAGGTCACATATGAAACAAGATATAGTGAGCTGTACACATGCATTGGTGTATGGCACTTTTATTTAATTTTTTATCAAGCATATAAAGAGACAATGTGCAATTGTAGAAAACAATGTCCCTTAAAACTAGGGAGATCTGGTGACGTATGACCCCCCACTTAAGGCTTGAACCCCCAAAGGAGGTCACAGACAAAGATTTAGAGATCTTAAAAAGTATTCATTCTATTTACATACAAAAAGCCTATATACATATTTCAACAGCTTTTCCCAATGCATTTTAATAAGCACAAAAGATGAGTCTTTGTGCCAAATTTATACGCTTGTAAACAGAAATCTGCACGATCACTGTATGCTGGATTTTACATCAACAAAACTTGAGTACTGCCATTATTAATCATGTTTTAAAGATTTATATATCACAAAAAAATGTAAATTGTTTTATTTAAATTGCCTTTTTTTTTTTTTTTGAGAGCTAACTGCACTAGGGGTGCCAAAATACAGTTTTGTTGCCCTAAATATATGAACAGAGAAGTCTGAAATCGGTCACTCTTTTTTACTATTTCACATTTAGTGAATGGCAAATAGTGCACTATAGAGAAATATAGAGTAATTTCATGCAGAGTGAGAGACTTACTGTCATGTCAGGAAGATTGTGGACATTAGTATGTATCATATAGTATGATAGTGATGCCACCTAATTTCTAATTGGTTAAACATTTAAACTTTTTAAATGAAAAATACTTTTATTATAAAAGTAGTTTAAACAGATTCTAAATTATTAATTTTTATTTAACATATACGACATGTGCACCCTATTTTCCTTTCAGATTTATATTGGTTAGAATTCAAATGAACCAAACAGGCCAAATAAGTTTTGATACTATGCAGATACGCATGTCTGTATGTGCTTCTTTAGAAAACTTCTTATATGACAAACCACATATGCCTTTAATTGCTGCCATATTGCTTAGAAACCAGAAAGTCGAGTGGTTAGGTGTGTTTCATCTTAGACAGACCCTTTGAGAGCCGATGAGCCAAAGGAGGCCAATGTCTTCGTCTCGTGGAATGTAACGTAAAATGTAAAGTTTTAAAAGCACAGATTTCACTTTTGGCTTAAGTTTCTGGTGACAGAAATCCAAGACTACGTTGCCTCTCTCTCTCTCTCTCTCTCTCTCTCTCTCTCTCTCTCTCTCTCTCTCTCTCTCTCTCTCTCTCACACACACACACACACACACACACCTTCTCGCCTTCACTGAAATCATTGCTCTAGGGAGTGTGATGGCCCAATAAGAGCTGAGGGTGATATTTCTTAAAGATTGTATGTCATAGGTTGATTTTCTCTGTCTTTCATCTCTCCTTTCATCTAATCGACAGATCCATCCCATTTCCTCCATCATTCTCGCTCCTATTTTCCACGATTCATCTCCAACAAAGTTTTGCACGCTTTATCTTCATATTGATCTCTTTCTTCCCCCCCACTCCATCATCCATTTGGCGATTCTTGGCCCGGGGAGAAGGAAAACTAAGCAGCAGATTGGGTTTTGACTGACTGAAGGTATGTAGCCACAACACCACATGAAGCTGCAGCCTCTAATCCGTACCAGGAAGTCTTATGCACAGTCGGGGGGAATTTTTAAATACCTCAGAAGCTTTGCAGCTGCTTAACCTTCTGTGATTTGCATTTAATAAGACCAGTCATTTCCCGAAGCCCCACAGACTAAAATATCCATAAAGCGTCCATCCGTAGTCTAGGTGGCTTGTCGTATAGCTGTGCCTGTTGATCCATTTTGTTACGAGCTTAGACCTATACCAGCTGTTGTAGGTCTACCCTGGTTGTTGCCATCTGCGTCAAGCCTCTAGCTGACTAGACTAGAAGGGAGGGCTAGACGGTGGTAATACTCCATTATTGTAGGGTAAAGACTTTCAACAGACCACTGCACGGCGCACGCTCATATTTTGATTTTATTCACCGCAATGTCTATTGACTAATTGTAGGATTGAGTTTCATGGAGTTTGCAGATGTATCTAAAAATGCTGCGTACAAAATAGTCATGAGCTGTCAAACTTTTCACTTCGCAACAGAGTTATTTGGTAAAAGAAATAGCAAGGATCTAAACTGCTGGATATATTTGGTTGATTCCATAAGCAAATAGGGAAACTGGGGCTTGTTTCACTGGGAAAATATAAATCTCAGTAACTATAAAGGTTGAAGTCAAAGTCAAATGTGTTTTTATCTTGAAATGGTTTTGTATGTTGTTTTCAAACACCTAGTTCAAAACTCTACTAAAACTATTGGGGCATGTTGTCAGAAAATCTCAATGTATGTTGAATAACCTGTATCTTTTAACCTCGGCAATAATGTCATTTTTGTAGTCAAGACTTTAAGGTTTTTGTCCACACAGAAACTGACTTCAAAAAATGTAGTTGTAAAATTGTGAAAACTAGCCCCGGCTGTATTAAAACTATGTATCCAAACCTGCTATATACAAAATAGCTTTATCAAAGAGTTATGGTACTTTTTGCTTCTTAAAAAAATAAGGAGATTCTAAATCTTAGTAACTATAAAGGTTGAAGTCAAAAGTTCAATTACACTTTTTTTTAACCTATAAACTATCTTACTTTAAAACTATTGGGGCATGTTGTCACAAAATCTTTCTTTACTGGGAAATAATGCTGAGAATGTTCAATTATTTTTTTGTAGCCAATTCACTAAAGTAAAATAATGTGTGACAATTTTTCCCAACTGAAAACCTTTCCTGCAGCACACTTTTCGACACCACATTCCCTTTAACAGGAAATCTGGATGTTTTCATCTTTTAAAGCCTCTAGCAACAAACAGAAGCCATTTTGGCACAATAACTACTGGAAGGATTGCATTAGAAAAGTGCATTACTATTAACTTCAGCAAGATCCTCATCCCACATGAAATGCAAAGCATGGTGATCAAAATCACCCCGTTTCATTACTTGTTAAGAAGATTTGAGAGGTAAAGCTGTCGCCTGACTCCCTTCCCCCTCTGTATAGATGAACGTTACACTAATACTCTCCTGTCTCCATATGGATCCTCTCGTGTGCCGGACAGCAGCACTGGTGTGGAGGGATCGGTCACGTTTAACTGTTTCAACTCTTCACCCTCCCCTCACAGCAGTCCCATCTGTCCCGCTATTAGTAAATCCCCACAGATAAATAGAAGCTTTTGAGGATCATTGCCTAGGCAGGTTTTCCACGGTCTGAGCAAGACTAAGTGTGTCTGACCTCGATAGAAACTTGTACCACATTTTGTGTTTGGCCTGACTATGTGCAAATGCAATCCGCCCTGCTCCATCCTGTGCAAAACGATTTCATTTTACTCTAATATTAGAATAACAGCCGAGCAACTAATTGCTGGTGAATTGGCCAGACAGCAAATCATATGAAACTCATTTTCAAAGAGCACCTGTTTGGTTCTGCATCGTAAGTGACCCATGGTTTATCATCAATGTTAAATCATATAATATGAACGAAGTCCAGTACAGGAGTGTCGCGCTTTCCAGGTGTTCTGTCCTCTGCATAAGTCATTTTAGACATCTGAAAATGAGTTATGCAAGTCTGGATACAGCGTGAATGTTAATAAGCTGCAGAGTCTAACGTAACCTTGATTTCACTTTCACATATGAAGCATTAATCATTGATTTTAAGTCTCCTGGTCTGGGTGAGGTTATTTTTCTTTGTCTAAAAATAAGTTACCATAAATGAGCACATTTAACAATTTTATATTCATCAGTTGAAAGAATTTGGCTACACATTGCATTGTAATTATGAAGGTTTCCTTAAAGTTCACCAAAAAATGAACGTTTGTTGAAAGTTTACTCACCCTCAGGCCATCCAAGATGAGATTTATCAGAACAGATTTGGAGAAATGTAGCTTTACATCTCTTTCTCACCAATGGATCCTCTGCAGTGAATGGGTGCCGTCAGAATGAGAG